TGTACTTACAATTTTTTTAATTAATTTATATTATGTATATTTAGAGGGTTACGTTTGAAGAACTGCTGCAGCACTAGTTGATTAAAAAAAAAAATACGTTAGGTAAACTACTGAATGTTTTAGAGGTTTAATGAAAAATTTTATATAGTTTTTAGGTAACGATTAATCAATTAATTAATATTGAAAGTATTTGACACTCTCAAATGCTTTACACTTCCATTCTTCTCTTTGTTTTTTATACCATATATATATGTATAAGCGTTTACATAAATATACTACACAATCGCGTACCTATTTACGTAAAATATATTCCTACCGCGTATATAGCGTAGTAGTATATAAATAATTTTTAAATTTTCATTTCGACAAAGTATAATTAATCAAAATGCGATGTTAACAAATTAAATACTTTTGATTTAATTACAGCAATGTCATTGATTTTTTAATGCTTTTTTATACTTTGTCCGTACCTGAAGTCAATTAAAAAAATCTTCTAGCCAAGGTTGTGAAGGGTAAAAAAAATCGTCGAGGGTTGATTTTGTGCGAACTGATAATGCCCGTGTAGGTGGTAACGATGTGGAATACATGTACAGGGTACACCAAAATTTATGTTATGTATTGACGTAGTTGTTATTAAAAATTAATTTTTGTTGTTATTACCAAATTTTAATGAGAATATTACGAGATACATCAGGGTTTACCTTTGATCCAATAAAAGTAATAATATTTCGAAAACTATATAGGTAGCTACTAATTTTAGATTTTAATTTAATGTTTTACAGCTCTTTCTACTCTACAATATGATATCTTCTAATTTTAAGATTACAAACGTGAAATAAAAAATCTAAATTCAACTAATAATAGTTTTAAAAAATAGTTTCGGGTGTTTTTTACAAAACATCCTGTATCTGAGAATCTGATGTTAATTTGATAACAACAAAAATGAATTTTTAATTATCTTTTAACTCTCCACACAGCAAAATTGTGATTAGGTGGAAGAAATTCTGGCGTAGCCTGTACATAAAAGGTTTCGAATGGCACACTGTCTCCTCCGGATGTAACGTACCATCTGATATAATATACATAATATAAATACATGTACTTACATAATTACGTAATAGTTAAGAGAGAGAGAAAAATGAGAAGGTGTCTCGTTTTGTAAGAGTGTTCAAATACACCGTTCCTGATTGTGTATATGATGTTGTAGTGTAATACCGAGCTGAATTATGCATAATGCAATATATGATGTCGTAAAAAATAAAAAAAATTAGTTGAGTCAATTATCTGTGCCTCTAGCCAGTACTAGTCTGTCTCTGTCGTTTCTTGTCTCTGTCGTCACACATCCACTC